GGAACTTGCAGGTAGTGAAGTTCTCACGTGTCTGCTGCCCTTGCCCGTCAAACATCGTAAGTTTGGAAGAAAAAAAAACCAAGATACACAAGTTTGGAAGATGCTACTAAGATGATACCATGCATTTTGTAGATATGGCACATATCTGCTATTGTATAGCCATAGTGGAAGGAATTAATGTTGAAAGTGGTGGTGGGGTGATTTGTCCTGAAAGTGGGTAGCATTCCATCATACTCCTAGCTCGTTCCTTGCAGATCAATAAAGTCTTTCGAGAGTTAGGAATTGAGCCAATAAACAGGGAAACCCCAGGCTCCGACTTGCCCTTCTAGCCATAGTATTTATATAACCAGTTATATTTCTGGTCAATTGTAATCTCCTGGATTTTGATGGTGAGTAATCCTGTGATGGCAATGCCTTTCAAAGTCAAGGGAAGAATTTCAATCCCTTCCTGTTGAAAATGCTCATTTCTCTGGCACTTGTTTGATGCAAATATCAGTTACCACTTATCAGCTCAAACCCATGTCTTGCTGCATGTGGAACGAATGCTTTTGCAAATGGTACTGAACATTGTGCTCAACTGTACTTTACTGAACTGAACTGAAGTGAACATTCCCAATTTTGACCTGGAGATAAGATCATTCATGCCTCGAGTTTGGATCTAGGAACATGATATTTCTTGACTCAGACATGGAATGAAGACTTTCTTATGACTGAAAGAGGTTGAAAAGGCATTTTTGTGCTAACACACAGCATTACAAATATCGACTTTTCCATTTTATGATATAATAAGTTGCAAAATATAAGTTTTAAAGAGATTGGCTTCTGTTCAATGAGTTCAACATACAGGTAGCCATGAATTAGAGCCTATAAGACACATGCAGAGGTGTGTAAATGCATAGTCTATCATTTTATGCTATTAATGGATGAGGTACAAACTGTAATGCCGATATTCAGGTTGCACAGGAATCTTATTAAATGACAAAATCTCTTAAAATTTTAATTCAGTAGAATATTTAGCTAATAATTAATAGAATTGTAGCCTTTTAGCCAATTGTAGATACACAGCAGAAATATAAAGAGAAAGTACAATGTATGTTTTGGCCATAGATCCTCCATCAGGTTTCATGTAAATACTATTTAGAACAAATTCTGCATGTGAGGAGTGGGAAATGCTAAATGAATTACTGTGTAATGCAGATACTAATCTTCACAGGACAACCATTGGTTTGCATTGAGAAAAACAAATAACAAAAAACAAAACCAACCATTCCCTTTTTGGAACAGCAGACGTAAATCTACTTAAATGTAAATCCATACTCAGAGTAAAGATTAAGTATGATTTTATCAAAATCAGATATGAATATAAAAAAGTGAATTCCCACTCAAACTACTTTCTCTTGTAGATGCCAACTGACTAAAGAACAATCTCCTGTTTTTTTCAGGACTTAAATACATTTTCTACTCGTCAACCTATAATCAACATTTTTTCTATGTAGAATTTCCTTTGATGAACTTTAAAATTAACGTTTTACACTTTTATTTAAAAAAAAATTTATGTACACTTTTTGTCATAGTGATACAAACAAGACAAATTGGAGGAAAAGCAAAAGTGCTGTTGTATAGTTAGAATTTGAGCAAAGCTGTAGATAAACCTGATTATTTTCTTAAGAGATCTACATTATACATTCCAGCAGACAGAGGGCTGACTGAAGCAATTGCCCAATACATGACAGGCACATGATGACACAATAATATCAACATCCAAATTCTATAAATTTCATCTTCCCTTGTAGAGTTTTGGAAGTCCCAGACGAGCGCAATAAAGAAAACAGTGTTGGCAACAACAAAGACAAGTTAAAAAAAAGAGCAGCAAACACTGAATGAAAGGGGCCACCAGCACCAATCATCTCTGCAACTGATATTTTTGTGGGAAATTTGCTGGTGCTTTTGGAAAAGGTGTAAACCAGCTTGTTAGGAGGTTAGGATCCTGAGGGTTGAGAATGTGTACTATGAGGAGGATGCAAAGTGGCTTCTTCAAGAAGATTTGGACATACTTGGTGAGTGGGCATGAATATAGCGAATGGAAAATGTGATGTTATCCTCTTTGGTAGGCGAAGCGATGTACAGAATGTTTATTCGATGGTGAAAGTACTTGATGTGCTCATCATTAACTTATTGTAGGTTAATGCGCAGTACAGCATGCAATTTCGAAGGCTAAAGGCTAAAAAAAAAGGATTTGAGTACAGGAATTGCAAAATTTTTCTTCAGTTCAAAAGAAGCTAGTTTAGACCAAACCTGGAGTACTGTATGCAATTTTGGTCCCCTTATCTTAGGAAGGAAATCATTGACATTAAAGGAGCTCAGCAAGGATTCACCAGATTTGCTCCCAGGATGGCAGGACTGTCCTATTAAAAGATAATGGGGAAACTGGGTCTGCATTCTCTTAAAAGTTTTGAAGAATGAGAGGTGCTCTCACTGAAAGCTCCAAAATATCTAAAGGGATATTCAATTTAGATGCAGAGTTGCTGAAGTGATTTCAGCATTACGTGGTCAAACTTAGCTTATTTTATCACAAATTATGACATCTTTTCGATGATTTATTCTGCTATGAGCCTTTATTTTGTCACTGCCTCCTTGAATTCTGAAAGGATTTTCAAAAACATTATTAGCGATTTCATTAGTTCTCTATCTCCTTGTTAGGTTTTTTTTCTGGTAATCGCTGGAAGTGAGGCCACTTTCCATGGAGTCTATGACAAGAACCTCCGTATGAGGTCTTTCAACAAGAGTATTCTGTTACATTGCTACTACTATGTGCTTCTGGCTGTCCAGGAAACTCCCCGTTCTTACCCCCAGATGTAGACACAATGGAAGAATTTGTAGGTGGATAATCAAGCTGTTGGTCATGTCATTAAAGCACCTTCTGTGGCCATCGAGTCCTTGATCATGACTTGAACTTGGAGTAACTGGCTCAAAAGCAGGAATAATCCTCTGTGCTAAAGGATCTCCATCCTTGCCACTTTACTGGAAGCAGTTCACAAACCTTTTCCACCACCTTGTTCTGTTCATTGTTATATTTTTTGATATCATCAATATTTGTTCAAACATGATTGATGCCATATTTAAAATTATAATACTTGGATTTGCCTTGTACTTTGTGGATGTAAGAGAGCAATATCTTAAAGTACAATACTTGCACTGTGACAGGAGGCATGAGAGTCAAATTTAAAAATTTCTTCTTTTAAAATATGATAATATTGAATGCCATGAAGTAGGAAACCATCACTTGAACAGTCATTAAAAAACAAAAAAACTTTAGAAGCAGTATCTTGGCAGTTATTTTTGGAATTTACTATATACACACCCAAGAATTTAATTCTTTTTTGAAGACATTTGATTTATGATTACTGACCTGATCTGAGTATGCTTCATACAGAGCAAGATGAGAAAATATGTTTAACCTTTGTAGATTTTTAACAGAAAAAAAAGGGGAAAGAATAACAGATGTAGTTATTTTATTGGTGTTTAATTGCTAATTGAAAATAATTAAAAATAAACATAAGTAACAGTCGTGCTTAGACAGGATATGATAAGCTGTCAATGTTCTTCTAGATAATTAGCCTGATGTCTACAATCGTCTGTCATGTCTGGTGTGATTTCACAGAGAAGCTATGCCATAATCCATCAAAGCAACTGTTGGGTCAAACTGGCAGCATAATGGTACGCACCTTTTGATCTGTCTCTTGTTTAATGGACATTAATCTGGAAGATGTACATTAGTTTAAGAGATGTCCAATTGTGGAGATTATATTTGGAAAACTTTGCCTTTGATGTGGCCATCAAAACAGACTAAGTACTCTCTCTACATTGTGTCTCATTTTGTTGCGTTTTCTGGCAAATGGGTGAGCATCAGGCAAATTGCACCAGACTCCAGTGTTTTAGACAAGAACAAGGAAAAGAAAAAAGAAATTCAATACATCGAAATTTATGCTTCATAAATCAATACTTATCAAATCGTTGCAAAGCACTTAGCTTTCATCCACATACAGTGACAATCCTGGAAGTAACAGCTTGATGTTCAGTGGTGGGCTCATGGGTGAGGTAAGGGGATAAAGTTAAATCTTCTGCTGAGCTCAGATCATTCAGCATCAGAGAAAGGAAGGTCAAAGGGTATTGTGAATAAGAGCAAAAGGTGAGAGTAGAACAGTGCTTTCGAAGCTTTTTCCTAATGTGACTCCATGTTAATGCCTCCAGTGTCCATGTTAATGTTAATACATGCGTGAGCCAAAAGTGAAAAAAATGGGGCGCAGGGGCCTATAAGCTTGGTTAAATGGAGTGGATGGGAGACTTAGGACTCTAATTAATGAATTTGGAAGAACATTTTTGATCCAATAGATCATTGCCGAATGAAAAAGTATATGGATTATTAATATATTTGCACTCTGATTATTAATGTAGTAGGGTTCTGCTTATTAATCTTATTGAACCATGATTATTGACACAATTGGCAAGTAAATGCAATAGGATCCTGATGATTATGCAATAAGTCTGATTATTATTTGAAATATTTCTGATTATTAATGTATAGCATCCTGATTATTGATACAATAATGTCCTGACTGTTGAAACATAGGCAGCTGATTATTAGTGCAATGTAACTTGTGTAACGATTGTAATTAGATCCGATTTAGCAATCTAATAGAATCCTGATTATCAATGTAATAGGATTGTGGTTATTTATGCAATATGATCCTGATTGTAGAAGCAGTAGGCAACACACTATCAATGAAACAGTATCCTGTGATTAACGTAGTATTATTCTGAAAATTAATGTAATAAGACACAATGCTAAACATGAAAACAAACAAATTATGATTGTAATAAATCTCTTAAGTATTGAAGTGATAGGACTGCCATTCACAATGCAATAGAATTCTGATTTTTAATGTATTAGAATCATGATAATTAATGAACTGTGATCCTGATTATTGATGCAAGCTGACCTTGATTATGGAAGGAGTAGGCATTCTACAAAAGAAAATTCCACACTTTTTGCAGGCTTGTTCTGGAGCTTCCATTGAACCTCAGAGCTCAGCAGATCTGGCAGCAACTGTGGAGATAGAAACTGAGGTCTGAATCTCACGTTTCATTTTAGCACATTACTTCAGGATCATTGTCTTTGATGCTTGAAGTGGACCTGGCAGTTTCATTTAGTCATTCCACCCAACATTAGTATATCCTTCCTTGGATAAAGAGACCAAAGCTGTACCTAGCACTCCAGGTGTCGTCTCAGCAAGATCCTAGAAAGTTAAAGTAAGACTTTTCTGTTATACTTTAATCCTGCTTGAATAAAGGTGATCATATCATTGATTTTCTTAATACATTCCAGACAGCACTGTAGATATATTTATTCCATTTGCACTGCAGTGATTCAAGAAGGCAGCTCACCACCCTTCTTAATGGCAATAATTCCTTGCCTTGCCAAAAATGCAATTTTAAAAAAAAAATCAATCTGCACTTATGATAATTTTCTGTCAGTCATACACTGGCACATGCAGTTCGCTGTGGCTTCTCTTTCTGTTCCAGCACCATTACCTCTGGTGTCTCCCAAGAATCTATCCTTGTCACCCTTCTATTTCATATCGATATGTTGCTCAACTGCAACATCATCTTAAAAAAGTCAGTTAATTTTCTTCTGCCGGACAGACCTCAGGTTCGAGGATGATTTGCTTCCATTCCAGGGTACTAGATTCTGAGATGGCTGATAAGACCAATGTATGAGCTGCAGACACAGTCACACATTGGCAAGTGGTGCTTAAGGTTTTCATAATAGGTTGGTTAGGAGGTTTGTGCACTGCCTCAACTTTGCTTCTGCACATTCCTGATGGAGTCTTTAAAAGTGTTCAGTATTTTCCATAATGAGACATTCCCATTTTGGTCAATCACAAGCCAGAAACTCCCGTAAGTTGACAGGGATATTTGACCTCTTCAGAAAAGTCTTCAGAGTTTTCCAATTGTTAAAGTTATACCAATTCTTGTTTCTTTTGTTTGTATTTTAACTGTTGGGTGAGAATAAAGTGTGTTTTGCTTAAAGCCTAGTTGTGTGACCGATTGAATTACACCTGGAACACAACACTTCACACTTGCCTTTAAATAAGATAAAAGTTAATGTCTAGGCTATCTCTTTGATATATTTGAAGGGGGTTTTGTCTGGTCCATAATAAATTAGGGGCTCATCTGGGATCAAAATCTTTAGTTTCAGGTTGGGTTGAGGATTATTAGACTCAAAGACTGAGTGGTGAGTGTTGGTGTTTTTATTTTGGATGTTTATTCAGTTGGTTTAAACAGGATGAACCTTGTGTAATAATGGTTTATTCAGTTGTTAAGAGTTTTTCGGGGTGGAAGAAGTCACTTTGGGTAGTTTACAGAAAGCGAGAAAGGCAAAATGTTTGGAACTGTCAAGCAAGCTGAAGTTTGAGTTGCCTGTGTCTATGAGGAAAGGGGAGATAATTTGCAACAATAGCTTTGCATTTACAATTGCCAGGAATGTAATCAGAATAATTGGAGATTGCTAAAATTCAATTACAAATGAAGCAGGTTAAATTAGAGGCAATGGCAAGGGTAAAAGAAAAAGAAACAATGTCCCTAGCAGAAGAAAGGGAGAAAGAAAGAGAAGAGAGGGAGAAAGTGAGAGTTTTTGAACTTCAGAAGTTGGCAATTAAAGGAAAGTCGACTTTAAATGGTGAAGGTAGAAAGTAGAAGTAGTGGTGAGATTAGGAAAGACGAGCAAACCTATCATAGTCCAAAGCCTAGTGGGGATCTGTTTGAATATGTCCAAGTGTTACCAAAGTTTGAGGAGAAGGACGTAGAAGCCTTTTTCATTTCATTTCAGAAAATGGCTAAACAAATGAAATGGTTGGTGGGCATGTGGGTCGTGTTGGATCAAACAAAATTGATAGGTAGAGCTAGTAAGATATTTGCATCAGTATCAGAGGAGCTATCTGGGGAGTATGAGGAGGTGAAAAAAGCCCTCTTAAGTACATATGAATGAGTGCCAGAAGTCTACAGCCAACGTTTTAGGAATTGAAGGAGGGAACCTGGTCAAATGTAAATAGAGTTTGAAAGAATCAAACAAAGTAACTTTGATAGGTGGATGAGGGCATTGAAAATAAATCAAGTCATTTGACACTCAGACTTATTTTGGAGGAGTTCAAAAATTCATTCCCTGAAATAGTGAGAACTTGTGGAGGAACAAGAGAGTCAAAACTGCAAGATTAGCAGCAGAAATGGCAGATAATGATGAGTTAATTCATAAGTTAAAGTTTGGCTTCTGACATCAATTTCAAAGGGTTAGAAATTGGGGAGAAGAGAAATCCTCAGGTAGTAAAGGCGATCTCACTGAAGATAGTAAAGTTAGTTTCCCACAGGAAAGAAAGGAAACCCATGAGGGGAGAAAGGAAGTTAAAAAAAAGCCCAGGTGTTTTCACTGTAATAAAGTAGGACACATGAAGTCACAGCGTTGGTGGTTAAAGAAAAGCATTGGGAAGATGGATGTGGTAAAACAAGATCAGCCATTGGGCCTTATTAATTTGAGAAAGGAGATCACAGTGTAAGCTAAAAAGCTGCAAAAGAATGTACAGCCTGGTCAGGGGCTGTTGAATAAGAACGTATTTGTTCTTTTAAAATAATTTATCTGTGTGGGTATTGTTTACCGTTGTGTACCAAGAGGAATAGTTAAAGAAATTAACATTTCAAGAGCAAGGAGCAAGAACGTTTTAAGAACAAGTCAATCCTTAATGGTGAGAGACGAGGAGGTGTGTACTTTGGAAGGAATATTCCCAGAAAGTGGTAAAATGTAGAATTCCTGGTGAGAAGAGTTGTGTTCCATTGTATAGGGTGAGGTTGGACAGTCCTGTGAACAGTGGTGAAATGGTGTTTGTGAGGAAGATACAAATTCTCTCTTCCTTGGGAATGATGTCTACTGTGGTTGAAAAGCCAGTGAAAAAAATCAGGCAGCTCAGATGTTACAGGAAGTGTATCCTGGGATTTTTCCTGACTGAGGCAACAAGGTCACAAAGCCACAGATTACAACGGGAGGAGAAATCAAAAAATAAAGATAAGGAAGTTGAAGTTCAATCATCAGAAACTATACTCGATCAAATGGTTGAGAAAAAAAAAACAAGAACAGATGGAGGACAAAGTGGAAGTTTTTAGTTCAGAAAGTTTAGTTGAATTGCAATAAACAGGATGAAAAAAAAGCAAATATCATACACAGAAGAAGATCCTGAGTGCATCCCAGAACATTATTGTCTTAAAGATAAAGTCTTGATGAGGAAATGGAGACCATTACGTATTCAGGCAGATGTAAAATAGGCAGAAATTCATCAAGTTGTATTACTGGTGGGTTATAGAAAGGAAATCTCGTGGGTAAAATGCAAGGTACCAATGGGAGGTCATTTGGGAGTAAAGAAAACGCAAGCAAAAATACAAAAAAAAAATCTTTTTTATTGGCCTGATTTTGGTTGAATTTTGCTGGACCTGTCACACATGTCAGGTAATAGGAAAACCTCAGGCAGTAATAAAACCAGCACCATTAATACCTATTCCAGCATTTCAGGAACCTTTTACAAGAGTTTTAATTGATTGCGTAGGACCCTTCTCCAAAACAAAAAGTGGGAATCAGTATTTGTTGACCATAATGGATGTGTCTACTAGATTTCTGGAGGTCATTCCATTATGCAATATCACAGCTAACAGCATTGCAGAAGATTCACTCAAATTTCTTTACTAGATACGGACTACCCACAGAAATACAATCAGATCAAGGGTCAAATTTTACACCAAAATTATTCAAGGAAATTTGGATAGCTTAAGAATAAAACAATTTGAATCAACTGCTTACCATCCAGAGTCACAAGGAGCATTAGAACAATGGCATCAAACTTGAAAGACCATGTTGAGGACTTATGGAAAAGACTATGCATAGGATTGGGATAAAGAAATTCCTTTCGTAATTTTTGCAGTTAGCAGTGCACCTAACGACATAACTAAATTCAGTTCATTTGAATTAGTTTTTGGATATGAGGTGAGAGGATCACTGAAATTAATTAAGAAAAAATTGCTAAGTCAGAGTTCAGAGACCACATATTTGGACTATGTGTCAAATTTTAGGAAAGATTAAATAGAGTGGGTGGCCAGACAGCATTTCAAAGCAGCACAGTATGTGATGAAACAGGAAGCAGACAGGAAATCAAAAATATGTAGTTTCGCTAGAGGAGATAAAGTGTTAGTATTACTCCCAGTAGTAGGTGAACCTTTAAAAACAAAGTTTAGTGGGTTTTATCAAATCGAAAGGTAACTAAGTGAGGTGAATTATTTGATAAGAATGCCAGATAGATGGAACACTTACAGAGTGTGTCATGTGAATATGCTCAAACAGTATTTTGATCAGGAAGAAAAGCTTTTGCCGAAAGCTGGGGTGGCATAGTGGCTCAGTGGTTAGCACAGCACCAGGGACCTGGGTTCGATTCCACCCTCAGGCGACTGTCTGTGTGGAGTTTGCACGTTCATCCCATGTCTGTGTGGGTTTCCCCGGATGCTCTGGTATCCTCCAACAGTCCAAAGATGTGCAGGCTAGGTAGATTGGCCATGCTAAATTCCCTGTAGTGTTCAGAGATGTGTAGATTAGGTGGGTTATTGGGGGATGGGTCTGGGTGGGTGCTCCAAGGGTCGGTGTGGACTTGTTGGGCCAAAGGGCCTGTTTCCACACTGTAGGGATTCTATGAAAAGGAGAATGGGGTACTTTTGCCAGACATGTCACATGTCCGTGGTACTTGTTACAACTCAGAGTGAAGAACCAAATCCAGGTAAATTTGAATTTGATATTCCTCAAATTAAATAGGATAATGAGGAAGTTCTCAAAAATTGGGATAAATTATTGATTTACCTTCTAGAGGAAAATTGAAATGATCTGAAAGAGTTATTACAATCACATGAAGAGCAGGCAGGAATAAGCTGGAAAATATTAATGTGATTACACATGAAGAAGATATAGGAAATGCTGTTCCAATTAAGCAACATCCTATAGACTTAACTCTCTAGAATTTGCACAGGTTCAAAAAGAGATTGAAAGCATGCTCAAAAGACAATATAATTGAAGTGAGTTGCAGTGAATGGAGCTCACCCAGAGTGATGGTGCCAAACCAGATGTTACCCAATGAGTGTATGTTGATTACTGCAAAGTCAATGCAGTTACAAAATCTGATTCGTATCCTATTCCACAGCTAGAAGACTGTATTGA